TTACAACGGAGATCTAGATCTTGAATTGAATGTCATCAATCGTGTTTAAGCAGTAGTTAACTTCAGACTGCACGCAGCCTAGACTAGATACTACCCCTTTTTTATGCTGTGAATAACAAGGGTAACAGTTCGTTAAAAGTTATGAAAGAGTTTGACAATTATCTTAGACTATTCGCAAACACTTACAATGATTTTCGTTGAGTTGGGGGAATTGATCCTTTAGGAAACACATGCATGCACCAGCATTAAATCCCAGAATAACAGTTTAAAATTTGCCATTAAAATACAATAATAAAAAGCGTGGTTCGCATCATAATGCTATCATTTTACACACCATCGAGTGTCGGCATCAAGGTTTGGAAAGTTCTGTTGATAATAAGGAGAGTCTATCAAAACTTTAATAAATATGAATTAAAGCTTTTGAAGTAATTTACCTCATCAATTTCTTTTAAGTTTCCCTCAAGGAAACTTATTAGTTCCTCAATGAAATTCTTCACTTGAGGATCTGTCACTGTGACTTGTAACCCGTAGTAAAATAGATGTATTTATTCTTTGTCTAGTTCTCTCATTTATGTTGAAAGAAATGTTAATTATGTTACTGATGTTAGTATACCTTACCTTATGAGAGTTATTGTCCTCGAGCTCTACCATTTTGGTTCAGTACTGACGTGCGCTCAAATTGACTCAATCATTGCTACTCAGCAAGCTCGCGAGTTTGAAAAAAAAGGTAAGAGAAAAATATCATCTAACAGGGATGTAATCTTGTTTTAAACTTTTTTGCGTTAGAAAATGTGGAGCGAGTCTTTTTATTTATGCTATCAAACGAAACGAGACTATTTCACAACAATAAATCTAAAATGCTCCGCTAATACCTATTCAACAAGCTGCATTATATAAAAAAACCATACTGTACTATTAAAAACGTGGCAATTGAATTATTTGGCTTTAAGTATATATATTATTTTTAAAGCTCATGATAATATTGTACAATATGAAATATTTTTATTATAAGCAGCATATATGAGGTTATCATACATTAGAATATATTTTTATTGTATATTTTTAATTTTGTCTTTCTTGTATCATGTTTATCAAATCCGACTTTCTTAGCTTATTTGCCAATGATATGGTAGACTCTATTGCTAATAAAATCTCCTTAAGCTCAACGACTGTCTTTTTCTTGAGCTCAGTCAAGGAATATACTATCTGTTGTCTCTCATCTTCCTTCCCCTGTCTTTCCATTCTCGGTATATTCTTTGCTCCTCTGATTTCTTCGCCCCATACCAAAAACGTTCTTGTCTCTTTACATATGTCTTCTTCATTCTTTCCAGATTTCTCAGTTCTTCTTGTCTCTTTTCGGCACAAATCACTGATTTGCATGAGTCCCATTTGTTGATTCCTCTGTGGAAGTAGCGCCTGAAGTCATCATTTTTCTTTTCAACTCCTGTTAATCAAGAAAATGACAAGTCTTGTTTCAAAACTCTAATGTATATGTCTACATGTTTCAGGCCTCAAGATAATGACCAGCCAAATCATTGTCTGATGGCATGAGCAGACATTATTTTAAGTTCTGAGTCATTACACATTTTTGATTATAAAAATATGACTTACCTTGTCCAGTGAAAAGGTGAAGGGATCTTTCTGTCTCTAAAATCTTTGGTACGTGATAAATCATGATGTGTGTGTGGGGCGTGATGGGGCATACTTCTTGATGATACGCTTTCTAACGCATGTTGATGAGTTGTTTTCCCCCTTGGCTTGTTAATGAATAGATAAAGTGGTATTTTCAGATGCATTGCAATTAAATCATTCATTGAGACTTATCTGTTTCATATGTGTCATTCATCTTGATGCTTCTATTGTTTTACCTTTTCATGAAAAATCTCCACCTCTTCTCTTGAAGGAGAGCTTATTTGACATCACTTTGTAGAGTGATCCAAAGTTCTAAAAAAAGGAAATAAAAAATAAATCATACTTTACTGTGATTGATCTCAATGTTCCTAAAGTTGGTTATCAAGAGTTGTTGTTTGAATTTTATTTTAATTCTTTGAATTGTATAGTTGTCCTAATATACTCACCAACCAAAGAGATTTGGTTTCTTCACATCTCGAGAAGCAAGAAACTCATTGCATTCTGCTTGGAAGAGTGAAAAGAAGCTTCTTTTCATTTCCCATTAGAGATGTCCATTCCATCTTATTATCTTTGTTCTTCCAAACAGAAAAAGAGATACCACAGCCTCCTATTGATTTTATCGGTGGGACTTTGGTTTCCAAAGTTTTCATCCTCGTCCCAAATAATGGCATCATTAATCATAGCTTCTTCCAGTCGATCTGCAATTCTCAGAAGCAGGTGTAGTTCACCATTGAGGATTTTTTTCAAAGGGATTTTGAATAGAGGCTGCGACGAACACCCCAGGTCATTCTTCCAATTTGAATTAAGAGTACGCTTTTTCATAAACCACTGTAAAATAAAGAAACTGTCAAAAGACGTCGAATTGCCTGCAATTGCTGTAAGTCCGGCGTGATCTTTACGAAAGAGAAATTCACAAAATTCCTGTAATGGCGAATATCCCTCAAAATGACAAAGTCCTGCGCAACAGCAAAATTAACGATATGTTCACCACTTGACTGATCCGTCTCGAAATCGAGGAAAATCAAATGCTCGGAGGGAGATTTTGGCTTTTGACATTGCATAAAGCACAAATGGCTTTCCGAAATGATCTGCTTACAATTTTGGCAAAACCTTTCCATTGTCTGACTACTACCAGTTTGGTTTGCCTGCAAGAGAAGACAATGTCAATTATCAGAATGAAAATTCACATGCTTCAATGACTTATCTATCTAGTGGTCTAGGGGAAAAAAACAAAAAACAAAAAAAACAAGACAAACAGTAACTGTTATATGTCTTCTTGGGCAACTACTGTACTCATTACGATTGTTGTTAACTGAGGGAACAAAATTGGAATGAATATGTATGATAAACATTGCTTTCATATACGTATAAACAAATGAAATGTTTACAAGGAGAACAAATATATGCAATGTAAATGATGCACAGGACTTATAGATAAATTATTCTTACCTGCAACAGTTCAAAGTGCACAATTTTCATAATTGTGGAAGAGAACATTGTATAGGCTCCATACTTGGCACTGTGACGCACAGAGTCAAATCTTCCATCTACACACCATACCACATCTTTTGTTTTATTTAGTTGCTCTACCAATGTGGCCTTGTACATTTCCCAGTATTTAAGTACAGATGGGAATAGGAACTTTTTCTGATAGAGGAAATATGTGCGAAGTTTCATGACAGAAAGTCCCATGTGCTTACATACTAGGAGGACTTTACTGGCGCTGGCACCAGCCATTAATATTCCAAAACTGAGCATAATATTCCCAGCTGGAAATCTCCCCGTGATGTTTGGCTGACTTTGCCATACAAATGGCTCTATACACATGCCGCAGTGCTGAATGACTGTGACCATAGTACCATTACTTTTCATGCTGACTTTGGGATGTGATTCTTTACACTTCAAGCAGAACATGGCAAACAGACTATGCAACATACTGTAAAACACTACAAATTTAGGTTCATCATGAGGCGGTGTTCCTGGTTTCACACTGTGATGAAAGAGATTTGATAAAAAATCAATCAATAATAAACATTAGCAACTGTACAGTCTCCACGGGGAATGCAGGAATCATTCAAAATAGCTCAAGTCCACACCCAATAACATATCACAGGAAAGGCATTTTGCAACATAATATGCACAAAACATGAAAACAAGTCATGAATATAGCGGAATAGGTTTGCACTTTCCTAAACATAATGGAATCAGACGCTAAGTCATGTTGTTGGTGTGTGGTTATATGTATCACAGTTGTAGCCAAAAATCGTACTGTCCAAAAGAGAAATAAAAGTTGGCCAAAAAATAAATAAATTATAATAATAAAGAAAATAAACTGGCCCTAAGTTAGAGTTGATTAAATTTTTCTACCTCGCATCTTTATCAGTCTTGTGACTACTATCATCCTCTGTCTCTTCTCCCGGTGCATCTGCAAACCATTCATCATCATCATCATCAATCTGTGACTGTCCATCGGTTTCTGTCTCTGTAGTTGTTGTCTGTCGATGAATTTGATCAATATCCTTCTCCTCTAGCTCCTCTTTGTCACTTGAATATTCCTCTGAACTTTCATTACAATCATTGACATTAACCTACAAAAAAGTATGAATAAACATCCATTAGAACACTTGAACAAATCAAACCATTTCTGAATCAAGGATTTTTCTAAATAAAAGTATAGAAAATTCACATAATTTCCATCAACCTTTTAATAGATAGTGTGTGAAAAATAGATAAGGACTCAAGTATGTTAAGGCTTGGGTCAAAATCAGAATTTTACCCCCAACGAAGTCGCGCTCATGAAAGCGAGGCACTCATTTGCATATTAAATTTGTATGTAAACATGGCGTCGTATCATGCGCGAATTTACAAGCTTTTCTTTTAAAATTTAAAAGTCAAAGGATTCAAACAATGTTGAGGTGAGTAAATATGTTTTACTTAGTCCTTCTTTATGAAGTATATAATTTGTTTAAGCTTGAATTGAATACATATTTGAATTATTTACACTTT